TAAGCAATTAGCTGATGTAACATGACAAATCCTGTTAGCAGCAAGACAAAACTCAGAAATATCTTCTAGTATGAAAACACTTTTTACATGAAGAACAGAGAGTCGGACATAAATGATATCTTCGCACAGAAGTCTAAACATTTACGGAAGCGTATAAAATGTTGGTCGCTTTTGGATAACATTGGACCTAATTCGATTACATTCACTTATCGGTGTGAGAGGCTGCGAAACCTCGTTTTCTCTGAAGCTGATATTGTCTCGATACCATGGAATTTGGCGTCAAAGAAACATTTATAATACACTTGAGTTTATAGGATTAAGCTCGATTAACTTCTGTAGCAAGTTTTACACTAAACATGTTAAATATCGAGATACCATTTGTCATACCTTGAAGTTCTTTTGTCCGCCTGCTTTCCACGTGCGCTACCAGAAACCATTACCGAAGACTATCATTTTCAAAGCTTCTCAAGTAATTTGTCGGTCATCAACGAGAATTCTATCTCGTTCAGCCGCTAACCACAAAGGAAAGCAAAAAAAAAATGATTAATCTCTCTGTGGAGTGGCTAAAGAGACCTAGCTGGCGTTCACTTAGCTCTAGTTCTACTTCTAAGGTTTAAACTAGCAAAATCGCCTCCCTTTACTTTAATCGTAACCAGCTTATAAAAAGCGAATCCTACAGTTTCTGATATCATTTAGATTTAGAAACATCGACAGCGAGCCTGTTAACCATTGACAGCTAAGTCTCAGCTTCTAGAGAACATTTATAGTAAAGTTTAACTGAGTTGTGTACTTAACAATATTTTCCCTAAGCCAGCAGTTAACTATATAACATGCAAATATTTAACTCATCAAGTTGAATCACTGATTCCCAAAGTTTGTCCTAACTGTAAACTTTTATACTTGGCTAGAGTTCTAAATGTTTTTTCCCCTACTGAATCGCTTAATAAAACCGTTCGCCGTTGAACTGCGTTAGGAATATTCGCTTGATATATCGATGCTAAAGAAAGTCCTAATTTTAGACATGTTCGACGCGACTTCATTTTCGCCATAGTACGAGCGTGGTATTTTGCGAAAGGGCCAAATTTGTCGATGTTTACGTTGGCGACGAGAAAATCTTGGGTATTGTTATCAGAAATATTTTGCGATAACTCAAGGACCTTGCTGACAGCGGTAGAGTGTTTAATCCACCGCACCTCTTTCGCTTTCCCCTCCCTGACTAATGTCGCCATTTCCTCAGCTCATTTTCGAAACTTCCTTCCTGAGGGCTAATCTCGTCGAATCGAAAAAGTCACTTATGAGTTCAAAGAACACATGCTATAGAAAAAGCTTTCAGTTTTCAGGCACGCCTATTATTTCAGCTTCGTAGGTTAATCACGCCTTTGACCCTAAAGAAAATACGTTTTCGGGCGAAGGGAAGCCATAAGGTTTCTCTTTAGACAACTATGGGTGGTCGGCGTGTTTGCTCACTGAAACGATTGGTCATCGTTCACTCTCATTCTACTCGAGTCGGACGCGTGTCTCGAATATCGTTTAAGAAAATATCGACTGAGTTTCAAGTTTCTTTTATTGAGAAGGGTTTTGAATAAATATTGCAAAGGCTTAAATTGCAGAACCGGATGAATATACATTCAATCTCAGGGCTGACCTCAAAACATCTTGGTGCCATCTTCAAAAGTAATCTGTCTTAGCCTATCGTTGATGAAAGCAATCATCTTCTCATGTCAATTCCCCAGTTTGCACAATTCGTGTTGAAAATAAATTACACCAGGCACGGGCTTAGATAAGATCAAAAAGGAAATTTGGGGTGACTACGTTCGAGGAACGACAGCCGAAGTACCTGCCCGCTTTATGGGAGGCACGCACAAGTCGGCTTTATCAGTGAGCAGCTTTGCAGATGTCCTCTCTGAATGCGATACTTTTATTTTTCTCTTAAGTGACTAGAGCAGATATTGAATTATGACACAACAGTGAATGAGAACGCGGCCCGAATAAATTGCGCTCTTATCGGTTGAACTTTTGGCAGAGACAAAACTCATGAAATTCAAGATGAACCATAAAAAGCCACTTAACAAGCGAAAAGATTTTTCCGCGTCTTGCTTCATTGTAAGGCTTAATTTTCGCATTTCCAGTCCAAATGAAAGCTATTGAAAACCACTTGTAAACTAAAGAAACAGTAAAGAGAGTGAATTTAAAGCAATCTGGTCACGAAACTCTTAAATCAGTGAAGTAGCCATACGCCATGTTGGAGTGTTATTCAACGCTAATAATAAAGCGAATGCGTTTGACTCTCGGGATTTTTGTGTGCGATTGAGGAGCAATTTGTCATACACTTTCCCTCTTTTCTTCACCTAGAAACAAGTTCTCCTTAGATTACACCTCAGGGAAATTTTTCTTTATTCGTATACCAGGTTTAGGAAAGATAATATAAACAAAGCTATTCAATACAGTTTACTTTAACGTCTACCCAAATTTCACCTTCAAGGCTTGCAAGGTCGATTGGACATGAAAAACTTGGTATTCCTCCGTCTTTAAAACATGAAATATCTTGTCTTAAGTTGAAAATGATCACCTCCATGATTATAACCCGTGTCCCTAATACGAACAGAACAAAAGAACATTGTTTCCGAATAAACATTAAACCTTCGCTGCTACCCGACATCTTCAAATTCGATTGAATTCCTTTAAAACTAAGAACGAAATGCCGCCAGTTCGAACCGGATTGTGTCATAGCTTGATTAAAAGATTTCGGAGCCTTTGATATTCTACTGTAGGATGTATTGAATAAAATTAATCGCAGGGCTAAATTCTTTTCAAGGTTTCTTTTATAGTATGGTCCCTAACTCAAACGCCTAAGGCAAATTTTTACATACAATTCCACGTCAACGTTGATCGGTACTCGCTAAGATTTTTTCTTTCGTTTAGAAGTGAACGCGGGTAAGAACAATAGTTCAGATGCATCTTCCGGCTTTCCCAAATCACTCATTTTGCCGACCTAAGGTGATAAACATATTAAACTTTTAATGATGCTATGATTCTCTTTTCTCGTTTTGTCTACAACTGACACTGACCGAAAATACCACGCCATAACAACGCAATTCCTTTCAATGCGATCTTGGGTAGTGAAAGTGTAGTATCTTTACCACACTGTCCCCGTTTGTAATAAGTTCAAGTGACAAACGTACCTTAACAGATGTGAGATATGCGGGAACACTCCAGACGACTTAACCTAGAATTATAATCAGGCTATAGCCTCTTGGACGTTTATGTATCACTTCAGGGTGCAAGCGTGCGGTGAACAGCGCCTAGAGCACGGAGCTTCACGCCGTGTTCACGCGGAATTGATATTCATTCGCGGCGAACGACTGTCACCTCATTACGACTTAGTGTGCTAAGGCAATTCAGGAACAATTTGAATTCGAAAAAACCCTGTCTTGATGACCTTACGTCGTTTGTCAAACGCAAATTTTCCTTTAGTAAGTTTTAATCGGCTTACGTGACGAAATAGAGCCGCTTCGCGGACCGCGCAAAGCGCTTTAGTGGTAAGGAATCTCCTGAAAAAAGTCACTGCGATTGATGAAAAGTTTGCACCAGTGTAAGACATAAAAGTGTCCGAAAGACAAAAACAAAGGATAAATGTGATAACCATGTTGCGAGTTACCAAAACTGTGACCGAAATGATCGCCGCCAATCGACCTTTACAATACTCATAAGAAAGGCCCGCTTTTTCCCACGGAAACTTCGCTTGAGTTGGGCTAGCGAAGATGTATGTGAATAAAAGCAAAACGTACGTACTGTACCTCAAATGTTTCCTCGTTGCTCAAACTTCAGTTTACCCCAGAGCCTTAGACTGAACTTCCCATTCTATTCGTAGGAACAGAAGGTTTCGACAGCGGTAGACATCAACAGCGCCTTAGCTATCAATCGAATTCAATGTATTTTTTGAGCTAATAATGCATGCCTGACTGTGTATACAGGTTGGTGTTTAAACTAACAACTCAGTCGAGTTTGGGCAGTTAAGAACCCTTTCAAGAAATTTGATCTCCTGAAAGAGGACTTCTTCAAACACAAGTTCCAAAAGTTTGCGAAAGATTGGCGTGTTGATTGTTCGAATCATTCAAGAACTAGTGTGTTTAGAATGCTTTCCCGCTGATTTGAGGCAAGTTTGCGCTATGATTTCCAATCTTTCATCACATCATTCAGCGCTATGACACTATAGGCTTTTTCTCCAAGCAAAGAAAAGCTGTTTTTAGATATCATTGTTGTTCAAAGAAACATCGACATGAGAAAAGTTTATTGGGCCAAAAATTAGAGAAAAGGATGGCAGATGATCCTAAGGGAAATTTCAAAGGGACCGCTAGCGATCGGCGAACTGTTTTAACACCTTTACTGCACGTTCTATCAAGGAAAAAGTCTCTCAAATTCGATTACTGTGTGTAAAGTGGTTTTCACACATCGTAATGTTACCGCCACGATTTTCTGTTTGCAGCCGGACCCCATACTGGGGTACCCTTGCGGCGGGCGCTCTAGGATTAATTCCTTACTTCGCGCGCACGACACTTGTCAAGGCTGATCGCCGCGCTCTATACGTTATAACTCGGTTTGCCAAGTATTTGTCAAAACTGTTACGGGAAATGTCGAACTGTTGATTACTTTTAATTAAAAAAGCTGGCATTTGGAAGGCTGTTAGCTTTCGCTGCCAGCCGATAAATAATTAATTTGACTTCGCATCTCAACAACCTCAACTTACTGCAACGGCGACATTGGAAACAATAAAGACGTCAAGAAAACTCTTCGTTAAAAATTTATTTCGTTGAACCAACAACTGCTATTTGGGCAAGACTGTAAATTTACAAAACCTCTCCCTGCTTGTATAAATAATGGTAAATGTAGTGTTAAATACACAGTAGACATACGAACCGCTAACCACAAGAGCAGTTTGTACCGAATAACTCGGTAGTTTGGAAAATTTCTGGCTCATCTTTTGTCACGCAGCAAAAAAACACTAAACAATAACGTACTGAGTTTGCAACAAATGCTCCTAATTTTGAATTGCCCCCAAACATAACTTAAACGATCACGTCTTCCGATTAATTCAGTTTCAAAATATTTTGATTTATACATTTACTTTCGTCAAAATACTCTATAATCACAGTGAGCACGACGACTGAATGAAATGGTACAAGCTATATTACACTTCTTATAATTTTCTTTAACTTTCATAGAATTCTTCTATATTTGCTCCAATGTTTTGGTCTTCTTTGGCAGGGAAAAAAAACGTCTATTTGACATATAATCAACAAAATCACCTTGGAATTTAAGTATTAATTCGTATACACTGGCAAACTGTATCATAACAGATAACTCAATTTACAAGGCAACTCCTGAGCGCCTGAAATAGTACATAATTTAAGCGTCCGACATCCCTGAATGGTTCATTTATCAGTTTATGAAATGTTTGAAAACCCTGCTATTCCCGCGCAACTAGACGGTGTAAACACACAGCCCTGGTAATACGGACTGGGCTCTGTCGTAATAGGGTTAGTGTCGTAAGGTTTTGGTAGTCCTAGAGAAGACATGGATGAAGACATTCCTGCGGGATGATACGGGCTAAAGTGCATTGGATCGAAGCCTCTGAGGTCGGCTTCGTGGTCGGAGGCGATGATGTTCTTGATGGCGAATGGATGATTAAATGATTTGTTCATAGACATTGAGCCCATTGCTCCCATTCCCATAGCTCCCATGGCGCCCATTGCGCTCATAGCACTGTAGGGAGACGGTGCAAGAAAGCTGGGTGCTCCTAAACTCTTGGGTCCTTGGACTTTTTGATGATGCATCGAGGAAACAACCGGGCTCAACAACCCAGGCTTAGGAAGGTCACTCAGGCTTGGCTTTTTATCCGCCTTGAAGCGTTTCTGTCTGCGTAGATAGCAGCCGTTCTCGAACATGTTTCCACAGTCGGGATGAAGTGTCCAGTAGCTCCCTTTACCAGGCCTGTCTGGCGATCGAGGAACTTTCACGAAGCAGTCGTTGAACGAGAGGCTGTGTCGTATGGAGTTCTGCCACCGCTGCTGGTTTTGTCTGTAGAACGGAAACAGATCCATGATAAACTGATAAATTTCGCTGAGCGTAAGCATCTTGTTCGGCGACTGTTGGATGGCCATTGTTATCAGCGAAATGTAAGAGTAAGGTGGTTTAGCGTGAGTGTAACTTCGGCGGTAAACTTTCTCTTTCGCCTGCTTACTCTTGCTGTCGTCCAAAGGGTGGCCTTGTGCTTGCGGGTTTCCGACTCCCATAGCGGCTGCAGGATTGCCGGGATTCATTGCTTCCATCATGATGTAGCCTGTTCTCTATTGTACTAGCACGTCGACTGTGTTAAAAAAAAATTGGTTGGTGACTGAACGTAGCTTCGTACCGTCCTGTCACGTCCTTCTGCCACGGAGACCAGCGTAGATTACTCTTTTTTCCTAGTAATAAGAAGTTTTATTTTTAGTGACAGTTCGTAAACAGGCTTAACGTGACATGTCTGTAAGCCCCTCCCAAGCTATTGTTCCATGGGAAAGCCCTTTGGAGCCTTGCTACGTTTATTGACATAGGGGCCTTTGCGACCACCCGTGGGGAGACATTTTATTAAAAGTTGTGGGGTCCATTATCGCTTGTCCATCACGAAGGCTTACAAACAAATTGCCGTTTCATAATTCATGAGCAAATACAATTATTACGATAGGACACTTTATGGTTCGGTCCTATCTCGTATCCTTAATGTCAACACTACACAAAGATCACCGTTCGCACAGGATAAACTAACATTAATGGCAAAAGATCTAAAGGTGCTGATATCTTTGAAAGAACAGGAAGGATGGTTAGATTGGAGCGGTAAAAGCCCTCCGTCATCACACAACACCTTAAAAGCTATGCAATTTAGCGTTTGAGTGCTCAAATTATTCACGTCAAAAACTGACCGCACGAAAAACCGGGGTCGCTTAACATTCTTGTAGAGCCTAGCTGTAACCTAGGTCTTGCCGGCCTACTATTGGCCTCCGCAATTAGCATAACAACTGCAAATATAAATTCCACAAACAAAAGCAATTACCACTGGAAACTAACTTGGCGCAAAGCTCTTTTCTACTACTTAGGCACCGGCTTTTTTAAATGCAAGGATTAATAGCTTAGAGAGAGAAAAACCTTGCACTCGGCTTTAATTTGGAACTGGTCTGGAAGCACCTGTTCTGGCATTATTGCGAGGATATCTTTCGGTCGTTGTATCATCAATTTAAATTATTCTAAGCCTCTGGCTGAGCGCTTTGTTCCTAGTTTACTTGACTCATTAAGATCGGTCCGGGAGAAACGCGACCTAAATAACACACAAAAACACGACTTTCATTTAATCACTTTTGCTAAACTGCTGTCAAATTGGAGCGATGCCTGAATTGTCTGAATCGATCATTCACGGCTATTTCGCTAAGAAAGTCACATTGGTTTGTTCACAGAAAATATTTTTGCTTAAGTTTTTTTTTTCCTTCCCTCTTGACATTTGTACTCTCAGAAACGGAACGATAAAATCTGTAAGTTTTTTATAGGGCCAAATCAGCGCGTGGGACGAAAAGAAAAATGTAAAATTTTTAGAATCCAATTTCTCATTTCCGGAAACTGAGGCAATTAATTAACAAATTTGGGTTGCGTCAATCATTCCACAAAAGCCATATCCAGGTGCCTTTTCAGACAGCTGTAGATCTACAGTGATTATAATTGTAAGAATTTCAAATGACCTTCATATTGCAAGCCGCCCATTTTGAATAGATGTGTCAAGCTTTCACAACTTCCACATTTCACTCGGCAGAAACGAAACTTGGCCAAAACTTTCCCACAACTTGGATCTTCGCTTGCAACCGAGATTATCTTCATGAAATGAGCAATCGAACAAGATGAATTATTGACCGACCAACTTAACACTGCTAACCCTTGCAAACAGACATTATTTGGTTGTTTCCGACCCTTAGTGTTTAAGGATTCTATTTATAAATGTTTGCATGCTTGGTTCTCGATCAATATGGGAGAATTAAGGAACTTTATTCCAGGTAAAGAGACCTCAGAACCTCTCGTACTCTGAAGGAGTAGTTTCTATTATGCTCAATCTAACCTGTTTGCTTAGCGCCGGCAACACTATCTGTTGTCGAAAAAGCTTGTATTGTGTAGTGTTTGCCGTAATTTAGCTTTTATTACCCTACCTGGATGTAAAAAAAAAGGTCTTTATTTTGTCTAAAGACGATTTACTAGGTGTTCATCGCGCCATGATGTAAGCAATAAACTTTGTTAGAGAGTAGAAACCGAATGTTGTCACTAAAGGATTATCAAAGACTTTAGAATGGCAATTCCTTTAATACTAGGGAATCTAAAGGAAGCGCTAAACACACCGTAATTCTTAGCTATCTGGGCTTTTCAAACATCACGGAATCTCGTTTAATTGGCCTTGCTGTGAACTACCGCAATTTTTCTTATTATGTAGAGCCGTTATTTAGGTCGAACCCTTTGAATATAAAAGACACCTCAATTATGCACGCTTTTCTTTGCAGTCGGCTTTCTTTAGAAATTCTAAGTGATAGTTACAATCCTGACAATTTGAAGAAATAAAAGGTGCCTGCGGTTTTAAAAACGTTTATCGGTGATTGAGAAATTTTTATCAACATTCTTTCCTTCACTAGTTTGGTCCTACATTAGGAGGGAATCGAATTTTTGGTTAAATTTAATTTAACTGACACACCTGTCGAGAAGAGCCGTATGTTATAACCTTGCTTATGTTGGTTTTGCGCTAATCTCACTAAACTCTTATTCTTCATTCAATAACTAAAGGAAGTACTCGACAGCCGACTAGCAATTGATGCGCACCACTAATTGCAATCATTTTGCTCTCAATGGTCCCAGTTTTTTGTGGAGTGTTCATTAATTTTTGCGCCCTTCAATTTTAATACGTTTACTTCGACGGAAAATATCAGACTTTCGCGTGGACTTATGTGCACTGTAGTGACGCCTCTTAGTAATTCTTACTTGTAATTTCCTGCGAGATAATATACGACATTTCATTTTTCTAATAAGGAACAAAGCTGTCAACTTTAGAAAGTGTTCCTTCTGTTTTGAAAATGAGCTTAAATTTTAATATGTCTTCTGTGACTTTTCAAGAGTAAACAAACCACATTTGTAGATCGATCATCCGCAGTTTATGATTATTTTATGCAAGTGTAAATTTTTGTTGAAGTTTTTCCCAGATGATTCAGTGTGTAACTCTAAAATCAACCTCGAGATGTCTCCAAACTACATGAAAAATTGGTTTTAAAATACGTGAGTTACAGCGGAAAGTTTGCACAGGCGCTAATATAATGTGTTTGTAGAACTTTATGTCCCGAAAGAAACGATTTTGCTCACTAAGAAATGTTATGGAGTCCGTTAAGGCGAACCTTGTGTTCTCTGAACAGTCTTTATTTACTGGACATCGTAAGGCCCTAAACATAGACCATTGCCTGAATTGTTCCGTAGTTTATTTTTGGCGATGTGAACATCGTTTATTTAGATGCTTGACATGCTTTATGCACCCAGGAAAAGCAGTTACGCACGAAATCCTGTGGAGGCTACTGTAATTCAAATCTACTGACGTGCTGACAGATAAATTCGCACTTTAAACAGCGGTTTCTAAATATTTGAGAAACGCGGAAAGCAGGCTTACTCAGTCCGAAAAATTAGGTAGAAATACCCTCCGATAACACTGAAGAACAGTAGAGCCTGGACAGCCAAAATATGTTCAAATGAAATGTGTACATTTTGGGTTCACTCGCCTTCATAACGAACTGTAATGGTGATTTGCGATGTTCCTCTTTGGCTTCGTACGTAAATAGCATCATCTGTATCGGCTTTTGATCTTTAGTTTCGATGACAAAAAGTTAAGATAGCTATTTGCCCTAAGGCGCTTAATTATCAAACACTTATCTACTTATTTCGGTTTAAATTTTCCCCAAATCTTACAGAAGACAGTTACAACGGCTAAAACTCTCAACACGTAAGCCACAATCAACGATTTCAACATTTGTTGGCGGGAAATGGAACATGACAATGACTTTTGGCGGGCTCACTGAAGTTTAACTGTTCAACAGTTAGCTTTCTTTAACCAACAACCATATCAAATTTGCAAACACAACTCAACAAAACAGTCCAAATATTGGACCGAGCGAAAAAAAATTACCGAACACAACAAGTCGCGAAGAATTGCTTGCTTAAACATTACAAATATATCTACCAAACGAAAACGTATTTCGTTGTGAGAAAACGAGCGATTTGTTTATTTAAAGAACCGTAGTTTATCCAATACCAGAAAACAACCCATCTTTCTTATTCTTCATTGGACTAAACCGAGTTTTAGGCAGCTAGAAGTCTTCTTTTACGCCGCTCACGTCTCTCGTTGGCAATACAAGAAGTTTTCCCTGAGTCAAGATTGACTTAAAGTTGTATTCTTATTTCTGATTGTTCAAACTGAAACGGTGGTAGCCTTATAAACATTCAACAACCAGGAGAATTCTTGTTTGCTCTGTCGTTTGCCAACCCACAAGTTTCTAACGAAATAGGCTCCAGCAATAACATTTATCACGATTCGGTTGAACCGTCGATGTCTACGTTCAATCTTCCTTGAAAAAACTATGGCACTTCTGGCAGACTCTCTAACATCTCTCGAATAACAAAAATATAATGAATATATATGAAAAAAATTCCTCAAACTCAACTTACCTTTTCTAAGCTAAAGTCGGCTTCGCAGGTCAGTATGTTTGTGAAATGAGTCGTTTCTCTTTGAAAGTCTTGTTGATGGGAATTCTTAACTGCCTTGAAAGTTGTTTAATTACAACTGAGTTTAGGTGTAAGAGGCGTCTCTCTTTATATAACAGCTCTTTGTGTATTATGCAGACTTCCTATTTTGTCCGCCAATTAAAATTCACAAGCGCTCTGAGTAAACTCTCTAAGCTCACAAGCGATTGGTCAATCAAAATCGTATTTTTATGCTAAACATTTCACTTTTCTTGACACTCTGTAAATGTTTGGTTTGTATCGTCTCTTTTTATGTATTGTTCCTTCTCTCAGATTTAGCAGTTTGGTCGTTTTCCTGTCAATGTTTGACTCTGTCTCTTTTGTCGTTTATTTGTCACGTAATAATTTTCTCTTTGTCGGCAAAATATTTTTGTTTCAATGAAACAGTGACATATTTGCGGCCTAAACATATTCAAGTATACTAACAAAGAAAACCGACATCGAACATTTTCTTCAGATTGCCTAAATATAGGTTTTTTTCGCTGTCATTCACTTTACTTCCTACCTGTAATTTAAAAAAGTTTTACACTAAATCCTAACCTAGCACTCTATTAAAACTCCACTAAGTGCGAAATCCTTGAAAAACTTTTAATTTGAACTCAGCTTAACTTATTTCATGAAATCGTTCTTTTCTATTTCCTTTTAAATGCGTAATATAACGAGTTAGAATTGTGTGATGGTGGTTTTGTTAAACAAACAGATTTATTAAGCGTAGTGGTAGTTTGGGATACGGTGCGACGTTGATACTATTTCATTATTCTTTTCAAAAAATCTTTTATGTGTGGTTACCAAGATGAGGTGAAAGCAAAATGGCTTTTAATGAGTCTTCAGGCACAGGTGAATAAGCGATTAAAACAACCTTAAATATTCTACTGTGTACTTGGGGAAAATGAGAAAAATAAGTAAAATTTGGTTAAGGAAAATTCGTTCCGATTTTAAGCCGATGCAACGTGTCTGTTTATTTGCACAAATGAGTCTTTTTTGACGACTTGAGTGACATCTCGACAAACGAGTGAGAGACATGTCGAAATGAACCTCAAAAATTTTCATTATCGCAGATTTCATCAAGTTATCTCGTAACTTTTCCCAACCGTTGCTCCTAGAGATATTTTTTCTCCAAGTTCATTCTCTTTTTTAATTAACTGACAAAGCGAAGAGATTTTTCACGCTGAGGTGTGCTAACTGCGTAACATTCACCTAAAGTGAAACATAATTTTGTTTCCTTCGAGTATAAATTTTAGCCTGTTGGTAATTTTACCAGTTAGGTAAAATTGTTAATTATATGAGTTCGTGAAAGCATCATATTTTGTTATTGACAGCTTCGTATAGAACCAGAAACCCAATTTTTTTCATTTTGAGTTTAAGTTTTCCCATAGCATTTAATGAGAACTCTGTGAGGACTCTTTTCAATCAATATCCGCCTAGCTCGTGCTCTAAAGGTGTGCTGTGTTATCTTCATTCGCCGCGTGGCGAGACAAAAACGTGTGCTCGGCATTAATCGTCTTTGACACCTGCTAAAAACAGCTCAGCGATAACCTTGCCTTGAAGAGATACAAGTTATAACTAATAACTACTTTGCATGAGGCGACGCCGCTGAACAGGAAAATATATTGGCAAGAATCTGTTGAGTCAACGCAATAATGATGTCGCAAAACTTCAGAATCTTTTTCCTTCCACTGAGATAGCAAGTACCGACCTTTTTTTACAAAACATTGTAACAACCTCGAAAATTGTAGCCAAGGTAGATTTAACTCAGCAGCTTTGTTTCCCACATCGTTTAACATTTTTTACGTTTTTGTTATTAGTGCCCTGGTCAAGTCATTGTCATTCCGCCTTGTTCGTCTCAAACAAAGGCGTGTTTACACAGCCTTTCACTTGAAAAGACGCTCGGCGGTTAATACTTTCGCAGTCGCCTGTAGTAACGACCTTTTCTGACACAGTAACATGAGAATTTGCTTGAAAAGAACAGCTTGTACCTTACTACGCGTAATATTGCCTCTAACGCAGTTGTGAAGCCCGTGAAAAAAAGTCAAGTATTTTACCTTTTAAATTACAAAGCCTAAGTGGTTCGTTACCGTAAGGTGAAAACTTTAGAGAAAACTTAAGTTTCTAAAAAGCATGGCAGAAAGGGAAATATACTAACGGCTAGTCTAGCTATTTCTGGCGGTCTTGAAAAACTGTTGCATAATTTTGTTTAAATTTTCCACATGTAGAAGGTCAACCCTGTTAACAATAATGTGACAAGAATGTTTTAAAGTCACGTTTTAAGAACTAAAGAACAGCTACAGAATGAAAAAATGGACGATATTCTTGTTACTTTGTATCTTACTCTTAGTTGAAAAGAGGCTTTCGAAATCACAATAGTCACTATTACGGTAACACTTTACCCGGGATGAAAAGGCTTCGTAGTTACCTGTCGGAAAAAACCGGAAGAGTTGGCCGACATTCCCTCTCAAAACATCACGAACGTATGAGTAGGTAGTATTGGAAATGCTAAATAAAGAAACTAACGAGTCTACCATATGTTTGAACTGTAAATCGTGAGACCTTTCAAAATAAGAGAACTAAAGCATGTTCCTCTCCACACGTTTAAATTACGTGACAGAGTTACTAATCTCCGACTTGAAGTACCGCATTAAAACGACACTTCTTTCTTAACCAAATGGAGGAAATTTTAACAGGTGGAAAATTAATTTAAATCCTAAATACTCACTCAGTATCAAAACATGAACATCATCAAACTAGCTCATTTCAGGCACATTTAATATTCATCATCCATTTGAGATTCCGAACAATTATGAGATGAATCACTGACTGAACATGAACCCAAATTTTTTACTTTCCTACAAAAAGTTTACTGAATCTATATAAATAGCCCCGCAAACACAACATACATTGCCAAACGTTTGCTTAATCTTTCAGATATAGAAAACAGGAGTGTATTTTCGTTATTCTTTGACAAACAGGAAGAAACAATATGAGCTAAAACGGAAAAAAAAAATTGAAAAGACACATACTCCGAAATAAGCGTAACATTTGAGACCCAATAAAAACGAAGTACTTTTAACACAAGGGGTAGAGATAATTTTTAAGTTTCAATTAATCTGAAGTTTCTTTGATCTTCAGACGACCGTGATTAGCTGTTTACTTAGCTTTCTTCGCAAAGCTACCCTAATTAAAGTTTAATTGTGCTTTAATTACGCCAATATCAAAACTGTATTAAGTTTCTCATTATTGTTCGGAAAAAAAGTGCTGCTTGGCACGTGCCTCACCTTTAATTCCCAAGTTTTTCCTTAGCGAAAGTAAATCATTTCACTTGAGTTTGCTTCTTCTGCTGAAAATGAGCGTCTATAAGGCTCACTGTTGATAGTTTTCTACTCATTTTCATTATCAACTTAGGGGCATCTTCCATGAAATGAGTAGATATCGAATCACTAGATGTTACGGAGAATCAAATACGCTTTAGAAGCAGGATAATGATCTTTAGTAAAGTTTGATTTTTTAAATAAAAAAGTTAATTACGAAGCTTAACCGAACTGCAAGGTTTCGTTTTCAGTCAAAAGAAGCTCTACGCAAGAATATTTTCATAAATTTTTATTCCATAGTCACAGACTTATCACCGCTGGAAACGTGAAAATTGGCCACAACTGAAATGTCTCTAACGAAAAAAAATGTTTTGAATTTGCTTTAACAATTACCCTACTTAAATGGATAGATGAGACAACAAAACGTTTGCTGAGATAGCTCAAAATAAGGTATTCCAAGTTTATATCGCAGCCTCTTCAGCTTATTCAAATTGGACCATAAATGGAAAAAAATCCAAACGAAGGAAGGATACAAATACAACATACATTACTTTGTAAAAAACTGAAAAAAGGCAACATATTTGGTTGGTGGCAACTACATGCTTGCCTTAGTTCAAGTCACTTAACAGAAATAAGAAAATTTCTCTCGAGTCAATATGCTTTAAGCAGAAAAACTGAACTAAAAGGCTAAATTTTTTTGTATGTAATTCGTCATTCAGCTGCAGCTGCAGTTCAACTCATTACGACTCATTTCTGACTTTAAGCTTAAACAAAAATTTGCATTATCTTAACATCAACACTTTATATGGAACGAATACTGATCTTGTATGTAATACACGCAACAACAAATTCTATCAAGGAAATTTTTAATCGCCCAAAAAGCTACCTTAATGTGAAAACCTGAAGTTTATAAACCCTACTGTGCACGAAATTAGGACTGCATCCTGACAATTTCATTTTTCAAACTCAAAGATAACGTACCATGACATGATCTGTACGGGCTAGCAATTGTTGTGTACTTGCTTTAAAACTGAAAATTATCTGAACGCACAAATAAAACAGTCTTTTGCATAAATTCAGCCTTATTACTACGATAACATCCAGCAATTGAGCCAATTATCTCCATCTGCAGATTTCCATAAGTTTAGTTCTCCTACATTCAAGACCCTGTACCGAGCTTGGAAACCTTGGTCACAAAGAAACTACCAGAATAGGATTTCACACTGTTTCGCCTAACGTTCCCTTACGTTGGCAGCAGATTGCTTGGATCGTTCCTCTATTCGGTTCACTTTTATTTGTAGTATTTAGCATCTAAATCAAAGTTTCCTGATTTGTAGAATTGAACAGCTTATGCATCGGGGATACATTAGTTGGCCATACATTAGACCGTAGACCAAAAGACGGAATATCAGATCATAATATCAAGTCTGAATTCTTCACGGAGCGAATAGCCAATGGATATGATATATCTATTTGTATGAGAATATAAGAGTAAGAAGCTGTTAAAATCAGAGAGGAATTAATTCCAGGGATGTTCAATATCTCATTCAAGAAAGAAAAACATGAGAATTAGCTTTTAATCAAATTTTACCTTAAAAGTAACTAAATACTGAAGAATGCAATCATGATTACTTTGCGACAGTATCATGCTAGGAAGCATAGGCGTTGAGGAATAGACCCTCCCCCATAAAAGCTACGGAATTTCAAAATTGAGCAAACGGTCCTCAAATCGAAGAAGAGGTAGTTCAAGAACTATATACTGAAAATTGTTAAGCCCATACAACAAAATTTATCGTAGATGTGATAATCTGAAATTGTTCATTATTGTATGTCGTTTTAAGAGTGATAAAAATTTCCTCCACAGTTTAATATTTAGTGGTTTTAACCCTGATCCTGTGTCACAAATGGGTATGCTAAGATGATCAGTATATTCAGCATGTATATACATGCTACATGTCACCCTCAAAATATGTTGCTCTACTCAAAAAAAAAACGGTGAACACTCGGTGCACTGAATCACTGGGACACGTAGGACAGAACTATAAAATCTCAGCGTGGTCATGTCAATAGTTTCATAGTACAACCTCAGGAACAAAAAAAATTTAAAACGATTGTAAATCCATGTTTCAATTTGTTATTGAAGAAAAATGTAGTTCATGGCGATAAAAAGCCATCATTCAGAGCAGTTCTTCCTGGGAAATTTGAAGTTGAGGTCAAAGCTGAAATGACTGTGAAAAACTTAAATAATATTGATACACTTCCAACATAATGCAAAACGTGTGTGACTTATTTCCATGCATCATGGGTGGGACTTGCACCATTCTGCCGATGCAATTTGTCGAAGAAGGCAACTCGAAAGGGGCGTCAGACTGATCCAAATTCTCGTAAGTCCCTTTTCGTAGGGAGAGATCTACAGCATTGCTAATGATTTGAAATTGGGGCTATTGCAATTACATAGTACCTGCTTCCCTTCAATGTCATCTTCAGACATTTCTGAAAACAAAGCCAAACTTACGAGCTTGAAAAAAAGTTTCGTTCAGCAACCTTGTAGAGCCTAACTCATTGCCTTACACTCTGACAGTCTTTTTAAACATGACTGATAAAACCCAAGAATGAAAGACAGTAATCATACCTGGTGTATCACCAATTTATAATCGACAATTAGTAACAACTTCTGCTATGAGAGTAGGATGGTTTGTAAGTCAACTCTCTGAGTTATATGAAATACGTTTATTGATTTACTTCGATCTGCGAAATTGTGTTCATTGCTTCATGCAACTTAAGTAAACACATAAGCCAGTCTTCGCTTAAATCAGCGAGTATTCTCAAATATCTTAAATTGTCAACTTGTCGAACCATAAAACAAATATTTAGCTTTCAGATTTTATGCTCTCCTAGTTCAATTGGAAACTATGGAACTGTGGAACGGTTGATTTGAACAGCATCAAAGAAGTAGCAACCATTTACACATTTATGGCTATGCAAGTTAAATAATGAGTTCTGTAGTGATCAAGGAGTACGAAATTTTGTTCATCAATTTGGTAAATCGCCAAATATTTATGTTTTGAGTTCTGAACTGTAGAGTAAACAAAGACGTATATGCGATAATTCAAGCTTTGCTGATTCTAAAAAATGTTCGCGGTCTAAGTTGGAAATAAATTTCCACTAACCTCAAAAATGAACGCGAGTCCGGGCTTTGCCTTTGTGTGTCGTTTTCTGAAAATCGCTCAATGAACAATAAACAGTTTGTAAAACCGCTCATTAGCTAAGGGTGAGCGCCGCACCAGCTCTTGAGGGCTATTTGCTCTTTTGTTCGGGGAAAGTCAACAAACATTAAGCCTATTAAGTCCTTCCGTCACGGTCGAGGTCTTTACAAAGTGTTTCTTCTCGACGAGTTTTCAGATTCACTTGACAAGTTCTGAGCAGAACTGATGTTCACTAATTACTTCTTTACAGCCAAGCCATGAAAACTGACACACAGCTTTAATTTCTTTTCCCCCGTCATTCTAGCCTCAATGGATTGGGCGGAGAAAGAAAACAAAAGATAGGCGATTATAATCACTGTTGAATATTTAAAACTTCACCAGTAACCTGTCAGGACTTTGAAAGACTCCATCTGTCCGGATAATGACAATTTTGCGAGCTTTCGGTGAACCATTCTTTCTTTATAGGCGCGCAAGATGACTAGCGGGTAGAAAACTGGTCATAGATTGTGAAAGAAGACAACGAACTCGGTAAAGCAGGTGACAACTGAATCTCAGTAAAGCTCAGTTAAACATGTAAAATGGTACTTCATTCGCAGATTTTTACTTTTATTGTTCCATTTAAACCTTTTTGAAAATGGAAAGGAAACATCGGGTGAGAAAATTCTATAACTGCGATATCGTAACCTCAAGCGACAGCTCTAAACCACACTAGTCAAGTTAATTTCAAAGCAGATTTTCTCAAACAAACTTCCAAACAGTGCACTGAACCCTTATTAAAATTTGCCTTGTCTTTCCCATGTTTTTAGCGGGAAAAAGATCTACGTCTAGAGTTGAAAATAAACATGAACACCTACTCTTTCAAAGTCAATAAAATCTGAATGATAACACAAGTAAACAGTGAGCTATCGAAAGCAGTGGGAGAAAAATAAATATTGGGATGACCTGAACAGCACTCTTGCAAAGTAAACACATCGCCTGTAATTAGTCCTGATAACGAACTTGGAATATGTCGGGTGTGTTTTCCTGTACGCAACTTCCTCGTAGAAATACAATTAATTTCTACAGTCCATGATTTTTTTTCCTGTTTTTGTAACATTTCAACCAAAGACGAAAGGTTTTTTGTGCGATTCATTCATCTTTTACACCAAACCCCAAAAGCGAATATCATTTCCCACAATGTAATTTTTTGCGGCGCATTTGTTTGCGATCGCTTAACCGTGCAGACATTTTTCACGAAAATGCAAGACTTTTCAAACATGACAAGCAAATATTTTTTTCTTGAGATATATGCTAACCATAAATATTTGGACTTGTTTCAAAAGAAAATTTGCATTTTTATCTGTAATTCAATATATTTAATGAAGAAAGTTTATATACCTTTCATAAAGCCAACCCCTCCGGGTAAACTTAACCGCTAACTTAACTTTTGAAGGTCATTGAGTAAATTCTCAACAACAAAATAAACAACTGTTCACAAAAAAAACGCTGATTTTCAATCTGGCGTTTCTAAATAACAGTTTGGAACATTCACGAAATTACCCACATGAGCATAGAAGAAAACCTCAGTATCGTGGATAAAAAGAGGGGGGCTTGTAATCTTAGACGCGCGGACGTTTCGCCAAATGACCGAGAATTATCACACGAGACTACCTGCAGCTCCGGCATCTGCACGCGCTACTACACGGTTGACAAGCTTGCTTTAACTTGTTCCACCTGCTACCAAAACTTCTCTTTTGTGTTAAGCTACTCTCAACTTACCTAAGAACTGATGATATGTGGTTTAAATCCAACCTGACGCAAGGTCGTGTTTCTTAGCACTGCTACGTATCAAAACGTGGTGCGTCGCACACAAAATGTCGCTCAGCCAAGTTACGACGAGGAATTTCCTACGAAAAAATCGGTGAATGAGATACTTGTTAGCTTGATTTATCCGACGCGACATATTTAAGACACACCTCATTAAGAAAGGTCTCTTCGTTGCTTTTGAATAATTATTAGTCAAACAAGTCGTTAGCAAAACCTGACTGATGCGCTTAAACAACAGAAAACTAAATTAACCTAAAAATATGTACAAAAAAAGAAAAGTACGATATGCTATGGTTGGAAATGATAAAATACTTGTTAGTTTTATTTATTTTATATTACTATGCCAATGAACATTTCTGGTCTTTATTGCTCTACTCGTTAAGTTCTTACTTTTAATTTTAAAAATTCTCCTTTCATGCATCGATACACTGAGTCTGTTTCTGGGTGGGAGAATTTGTTACTAATCACTACTTTTTGTTAGATTATTCAGAAAAGTTGGAATCAAATTTTTGACTGATGGAGGAAAAAATCATCGATGGTGCCTTCCGGTAAAATGAGAGTCATTTTATAAATAACAACGCCAGATTTCTATTGCTCTTCACAGAGTTTTACGGGAAAAGTCGCTCTAAAGAAGGTCCTAGATGAAACGGCAAGAACTGACTTATGGCCTGGAGAATGGGCGTATGCACACGTGCTATACAGCTCAAGTTCCTTTCATAACCTGCCCCATTAACACTTCTACGGTGAATGAATAAGTTTGACCACCAGAGAGAAAAACAAAACAAGAGAAAAACAATGCAATTATGTTGACTAAAAATAAACGAACTTTGTCGTTTTGAGAAAAATACGCAAAACCTTAAATTCTTCATTATTGGTATGATATATGACCTACAAATCCCTACACAACTGTGGATATCAACTTTGCTGGATCCAAGGGGAATCCTCTAAACAATGTCGCGAATGGCCAGTTCACCTCATTGCGTGCACAACCCGTTTATTAAAAAAAAAAAAAAAAAAAAAAAAAAAAAAACTTGGAAGACAAAATGTTGAGAGCATGGCTTGGGCAAAGGGCAAAATTAACTTCATCTGATAAAACATATCCTCGTTTAGACTACTGGTACCATGTTACATATTCAAAATCATGTGGAAAAGCTTTTTGTTTGAAATGTTTCAATTTCAAAATAAGCGAGATTGTTCTTTGCCTCAGCAATATCAAAGATATCGGTAAATAGTAAATTCTTTGTTACATGTGCACTATTTGTATAGCTTTCGTAAACCAAGGAAGTGCTAATAGATCTTGTTTCAACACAGACGTTCTTCTCAAAGATAGGGTAGTTAGCCTGTTCTTTCCTTTAAATGATATTTGTCTTTGCATGTAAACATGGTAAACGTCTGGTGTAATCTTCCTGCACATACAACTGCGACGTAATTACATAGCACTTCCAAATAAATGACCTCTTAACCCAACATAACGGACTAAAAACAGCTAAATAATCAAAACGATTTAAACCAACTAACGTATGATAATTTTTCCTTCAGAAACTCTTGGAAATAACCGACTTAATGCAATTTTAGGTAAAACACATTTACCATTTTAAAGTAGTGTAGGAGTTTCTTTACCGCAAACAGATTTCCAAAAATAAACATGATTTTAATTTTTCTCTTAGGAGAGACTTTAGAATGTGTGGTGAAATCCTTTTTTTTTCGTTAAAGCTTATCTTTTAATTTATTAAAAATGTCTGCAAAGTTTAGTAAACGGAATAAACGATTCAACGTCTGGATACTCTCCTCAGTGAAGAATTTATTTTAACAAATTGGAAATTTCCTGTAACTGAAGAAGGCAAGCGCAATGAATAGTACGACAGAACAATCAGAGAAACGTTTAGTTCAGGGTGGATATTCCATATTTGTAAAGCAAGCAAACACTTTGAAATTGGGTGAAGAACACTATCATTTTATTGCCATATGCGCACCAGTAATCATCTTGGTGTTCTTTTCCAATCGCAAGAACAGTACATTAAATTGTAACAATAAACCGAAAAACCTAAAAAAAACAAAACAAAACAAAAAACTAATAATGGCAATGATAATCCTGAAATGAGTCTTTTTTAGGTGTTTGGCAACCTCGACTACAACACAAAACGGTTTTACACGTAAGTTCATATCGTACCATTTTCGCCCATATTCCTGAGACTGTTTCTAATCGACAATATAGCAGTACATGAAATAATTTAGTCCCCCGGTCTATAAGTAACAATGTTTGACCAAACTTATCTCTTATTTATTCACTCATCGCTCGTGACCTGTAACATATTTACTTTGCCTTGTGAGTATTTCTTCAACAGTAAACAGACGCAAGAGCCAAAATAGAGAACTGATTCGATCATTGAAAAAAAATGAAGAAAGGACGAAGCTCTTAGGGACATAAATCCCATCAAGTACGAACAAGACAAATTAAGAGAGAAATTAAAAGTCATGATCATGACCACATAAAATTATCCTTTCATCTCGATGTTTTGGTCTCTTTTAACCTGATTTGGCCCCGAGCCTTCCTACTAAATGCAGACGTATTATGCAAATCCAATCAACGATAACTATTCCACAATTTCCCTTGTAAAATTAGTAAACAGATCTAACTAAAATCTCCCAATATTCAACTTCCGAAATCGTGAAATCAACGTGTCCCAAGTGTTTCATGCATTCATTGCATTACAATCGGTGTTTTTTCATTTAACGAAATGTTAAAATACGAACATCGATTCAAACGTTTATCCTGATTAAGGCACAAGAACGTTCCTTGAAAGTCGCCATTCGCAGTCGCCTATTTCTCATGAATTTTAAGTTATAACGTTATTCATTTCTTTCGGTAACTGAATAAGGCTGCCTTTACCAGTAAAAAGTGCTTGTTATCAATTATTTCTCTCTAAGAGTGTTAAAACCAGTATTATGTTAACAGTTTACAGTAATATTTAATGATAAAGACAGGAAGAAAACCACATGCCTTACTGTACAATAGAGTAATTTGACCAAATTTAGTTTTTTTGGCATATCCGATATTTCTGTATTTTGTTAAAAACTCTCGAAATCTGTGGTTTGTTCCATTCACAATGCATTCCTTTAGAAAGTTAATTACATCCACAGTTAAAACAATTGTCATAAGACTGATTTCCTGTTATACTGTCTTTTAATATACTTTATATGGTCGAGACGAAGACAATTGAAAACTAAGTAGAAAGCAAACTCCATTCATTTCCTGCTTAATTAAAAACAGAAATTCACCTGAGATCCCAGCAGTTTTTGCCACTCGCTACTGACCGACTCATTGTATTTTAAGACAATGAAGAAGTGGAAACTATTTATTTAACGTAAAAAAGATTAAAAATAATATTCTGGGTTTTGAATACACTTCATTGGAACAATTTGACTCTAATTGTTTACCTTTCTATAAGAAAAATCTTGTCAGTTTCTCGTCCTGCGGGTAGTGAATAATCCTTTCCGCTCTTTTTAATTTTGACAACAAAGACAGTTTAGACTGCCCTGCGCTGTGTTTTTTCCTTCTTTAATAATCCATTACAGATTCCATTTCCTTCATGAATTATACTAACAATTAGCCAAGGTTTGAAAGAGAGACTTCTGGTGCGGCGCTCTTTGGCTTGTAAATATTAATTATAGAAAACAAACGAAACGTTTTGCAAAGTCCACAAGTCATCTTCCTCTCCTGCGGCTACTAAAAATCAATTTAACAAGCTTTTCCACATTAATTCTAACATGATTCGACCGCTGAGGCAAGACTAATTATTAAAAGGTCAAACTGTTAACAAGAGAAAAACTCTAGTATATTTTCGGTGCCGATAGATGTTTTCAGTTAATTTGACAATTGGCGCCAAAATATCGAGCGGCGATCGGTAAAGAAAGTCATATTTGTCAAGAAATTCGTGATTCATAACAAAATAAAACAAATCTTAGACATGATTCTTTACAGTTTTTCTTACGCTTTTAACTTTGAATTAAAATATGAAACACCGAAACTACGCTGTCCGCTTATTCCTTTTAAATCCCTTTATGAATTTGGAAACCATTCTTGAAAATAAAAACGTTTCTCCACCGCCTGTATGTGGCGTCACATTGTCCGAAATAAACTGCGGCTTCACGCGATGTTTTGAGGGTCCAATTTCTTGATAGATAAAAAGAAAAAGGAAATTTTCTATGTATTTTTTCATAATTACAAATAAAATACTGGGATGGTTAACTAATTACACGCCATAATTAGGTCGATCTCGGAACTTGGGTTTTTCCCCCTTATCTTCACATTATGGCTGCTTTAAGGAAGTCGGCTCATTTAATGCAGTATTTATTCAGTCGAAGCTAAAATTTCAAAATTTGACCAAATAGGGGGCTACTATCTTGTTAGTTTTTGAAACGATAAAACAACAAAGCATTACTGGAGTTTATATATCATTTGCTATCGATTTCCTGAAATCTATATAAAACTGGACCAACTCAGCTCATCATTCATTTCTCCAACAGGAAAAGGTTTCACCTGTGTCAAATTCTATACGAATTTATTTTTTATACCTTAAAAGTTGGATCGTCATTTACTTTTCTTCAAGTGCCCTTAAGTTCAAAAAGATCAGAATTCCAAATTTGGTTCTCCATAAACATTCACATCGAGCTATGAATACGTATTACTATTACAGAAATCGACAAAGCCAATTTTAGCAAAAAGGTCACGCAAATAAAATTATTGAAGGATAAAACCGAAATTCATGAATGAAAATTGATTTTTTAAAGATACTTCCTATTCCGTGGAGCTCTCACCTCGCCTTTTAACTCAGTTTCCGAAAGAGTAAGGTATTAATTCATTTCACTTAGTAAGATCTCATATGTGAAATGTCTAAATTGCATTAAGAAGCGTGGGGATTGAATTTCACAAAACACTCCCATCCACAAACGGAAAGATGAATTAAAAGCGACTGAGTACAAGATGACAACTGTACAACCGTACTGAACTACAATAGTTATTTACTTTTCTCGGCACGTACGAGTGAGTGATAACCGGTTCATTAATGTAAAATAAATATAACGTCGATGAAGATAGTCTAAATGCACGTACCGGCGATGTATTTTAAAATTCAGCAGTATACAATATTAAAGCATTGAGCCATTAAGTCATATGACAGCTTTTTGCCGCTTCGTTCTGTCAATTCATAGACACCGTATGTTCGGATGAAAAGCGAAATTTAAATACGTAGAAGTTTTGAGAAACAGATAGGTCTTTGAGCTATCGAATTTCGCCAACACATTTGCCAGATGCATTCGATATCCCTAGTTTCGAAAACTTCACTTTTCCCTTTTGACCACGTTTTAAATTCGAAAGGTTTGCCACAATTTAGATCGCCTAACATATAAAGTAAGTTCTTTTTAAAGACCCATATGAAAGCACGATAATCTTTTGTCATGGGTATCTTCCCTTTTCGTTTATATATTAAATTATTGGGGGCCTAAGTAGAAATATAAGTTTACGATAATGGTCTGAACTTATCTCTTGACGATGTATCTCACGCACTTATCCCATAGTGATGCCTTTCGCTAGAATATCGTGTAACATTGGGAAGTTTCGAACTTTTCAAGCGCGCAGCGCAGTGACTTCTCTGTTCATCAATTGAATCACTTAGCTAACATAACAAATATTTCCGCGCAGAACGTTTATATAACAACAGTGAAACTCCAAACATGTCAAAAATCGGGCACATCGGGTTAAGGGTAAATATGAAATCGAATAAACGCTAAGAAAGATCAATATTTGTTGTAAACTACTCGGATGGTATTTTATGAAGCCTGAGCAAAGTAAACAAGAATGTTGCATCTCACCTCTTAAACGATCAAGGTTGACAAACAATTTGAACAGCTCAGAAATATGCGATCTTCAATCCGCGGGACCTGATAAGGAGAACAAAACTGTAAACTGAAGTCGAGTTTCGCAGAAAATTAAAAGAAATTTTGACGCACAGTACAAATCACCCAGCTCCTACCTTTGACACTCACGCAACACGAGAGAATGTAAGTGCTCTATTTCGATATTTGCATTACGTATTTACAAAGCGTTTTCGCGGGGATTTGTGGGAACGAACATGATTATTCACGAACGAATTATGGGTAATATTTTGCGGCAAAATACTCTTTCCTCGAAATTCGAAACATCTGTAGTATTTAAGAAAGGAAACGGGCGAACAATCAGATTGTTATGCAGAGATGAAGTATTTACAATGAAGAAATACTAGCCAGCCAAGGAAATAAACAAGGCGTACCAAAATTTATGACAAAATTTTATTTTTGAGTCAAGAGTTAGAATTTCAGGGAAGGAGACTAGTAACAAAGGAGACAAAAGAAACCATTAAACTTTTGCGTTATCTTGTCGCCTTTCAAAAGTAATACTAGGATCGGACTATTCCTGGCGAAGCTTCAGTTGTAAATGAAATATTTTCTTAAGCATAAACCAATTCCGACAAATCAACCGCACATTGAGCGGTAAGAAATACCCAAAGAAAGTGACGTAAAGAATTGGAGAAACATGTGAAAAGCCATTAAGTGTTACTCACTCTATCTCTATGGCCACTCGTCCTTAGAAATTCTGAACATTACCAATCAAATTTTCAATTCAATCAACCAACTCTGAAAGAGTAATTTTAGTCCATTTTAAAAGCTTTAGTCGAAGTGTTTAAGAAGGCAATTTTAACTTGAAGTTCTCAGAACTAGAAAGGTATTCTATTTGCCTTTTAATGAACTCACCAAGTCTGTTTTACAGACCGTAGTGCGGTCTGTAAAAAAGAGCTAACAACAAAACATGTTGGTTTTCAACTCCTCGAGAATAAGTGCTCTCCACATGTTCTTTTAAGATGGGAAATTATCTAAAAAAGGAAGGTTTTTCCAATTTCTGGCTTACTTTCCTTCAGTATTAACAAGATCACCATTTGGAAAATAATCGCTTAAGGGCTCCATCCATTCAATTTGTAAAATAAACTTGTTTTTCTTTCTTTTAACCACACCCTAGGTAAACATGACAACACTTACACTATAGGTGCTTCGTTTATGAGTTAAGCCTACAAGGTAACCTTTGATTCACCTTTAATTCAAGCCTTGAATCAAATATGAGCAGTTTCTCTCTTCGCAAAATAAAAATTTTCCTCGAATGATAATATCTTCTTTTGTCGCTGGAATGACTATCATCTTTCAGTCAAACAAGCGAGGAAAACTGTTTTATTACTGGCAGGTGTTCCTGAAGAACTGTCTGTCATGTTTTTGATTTTGAAATATTTCACTTTTGAAGCTAATTTCCTCTTTGCCTTTGCTTAGTGTAATCAGCGTAAATTGTAACCTCGCATCATTTAATATTTTTGGCCGATGTATGAGTTAAGAACAAAACACAACACGAAAAAAAAACATACCCAAACAAGGCGACGCTCCTCAAGACCTATTTTGTATTTGACAGTGAAAAAGTTGAAAATCGAGGATTTAAACTTGCGAAGGAAAAGAATATGCAGATTCAGAAATGTAAGAAAATGAGAAAGATTCCCAATATTTGATTCTTCAAAAATAATGCAAAGAAACGCAAAGTTAAGATGGAGTTACAGGTTCCTTTTTTAAGCGGGTTAACGCGTATAAAAAATACGGCGAAATTAAGCATCGTCTGGGAATAAAAACGCTTCTGAGAACGATTTATTTTAAGTGGCTGTGTAAAGTTGAACGTTTTCTACACAAAATTAGAAGGTCAAAACCACTCCTTTGTCACCGAGTACGCCAGCATGCGTTGCGCTTAGATGAATGGCAACGAGTAAGGATACCGAGTGCCGATACTTTTTAAATTTTGCCCTTTCTGTACAACGGTCAACAGTAAGTAACGTAATTCTTGAGAAGGGCCACAGTGAGTAGCAATTGAAAACGACATACAACAGACGCATTTAGCGGTTGAGACATAATCTGTGGATTCCGAAACCTTCTCATAGATTGAGAAACTCTTGTGGCTATTTTTAGAAAGAAAGATTGTTATCGGTTTTCTTAAAAGGTATATACAAATTTATAGTTGTTTTCTCTTTCTAGTTAACACCTCGTTTTCGAATTCCGCAGGATGTAAATATCTGAACATTCGTTCGTAGCTTAATTTATTTGCCAATAAATTTCTTTACAATGCATGACGAAGATTGACTCAGAAATAATTCTCGCTAGTATTTCAACAAGACATTTTTATGGACAAACATTTTTGCTGAACCGAAACACATATTTGTGATCTCTAAATTTCAAGACAGAGAGGGCAAATACTTTCTCTGTATACACAGTACATGGCGAAACTCTTTCGATTGAAATCAATATTGACCCTGATAATAAATTGTGATAAATTTTAGACAAATAGTTGGCTGTAAAAACATAGTGTTTCAACCAGGACTCCAACGGACTTTATCACCATGATCTAAACATATTAACTAAATAAACTGTTTTTAATTTTGGTTACTGCATAATATGTGTTCAGTCGGTGCTGTGCCTTGAATCATTCAATGGAAGCTAAAGTGGTGTTTTTTTCAAGTATGTAAACTGTAATTTAAAGTGCTAACAGTCTGTAGTGGGAGTAATTCACTCAAGAGCTACTCCAAGTGAAGTTTTCCGAGGTTATTTTATTGCATATAAACACAAGCGACGAAGAAGTATTTCAATCCTAATCTTTTGTCCAACAAAAGCGTAATATCTTACCTACATCTCTACGGAAACTTTATACGCTTCCATTAACTCGTGGTGTAAAGCTTGTAGAATTGCAAAGCTTTTCATTCTTTGACGAACATACCTTCAATTCACCTTCCTTCATTCTTGAAACTAAAATTAACTGGAGGTTAAAAAAGCCAGACACTCACTCATGGTAGAAAGCGAAAGCTTACCTGTCAGTTAAATGATATTCTTATACCAGGGAAGGAACTGCAAGAGTGTAACACTGATAGATGGTAGACTATGCGATAGCCTCTAAGGTGTCCGAATGTCTCCAAGAGCCTTGGAAATTATGTACAGAAAAATTCAGTATTGAATAAGTTACAGGGCGGCGAGTGCCTTTGATGTCCAAGTCAATAATTTCATCACTTGTGAATGATTGTTGCATATGACTTGATACCCGGTATTGAGTTAACGGCTTATTATCTCGCGAATTACTTACCAATATCCAGATGAAAAAGCCGGCGTTAATTTTGCCATGTCCTGTTTTCATAAATATATCAGAAAACTTCATATTCTCGGCTCGCAGCTAAAAGGAAAAAGAAATAACTTTGGAGTCTTTCAAAAGCAATTTTGGCTCGCCGATTTCTTGCGTCTTGTTTTTAGTAATTTTTATTTTGGTGACCGCAAATCGAAAATGTGTTCAAAAACTTCTGTCAAAACAATACCATATGAAAACAATTCCGCCAAATATAGCGGAATTAGAATAAAGAATATTAATAAAAGACTGTTTGCAATCTTAAATAAGGATTTTGTAGAGCGGGCAGATTATACACAAACAAAGCAATATACTTCTATCAATGAAACTTATGTCTGGTAAATTGACGTTTAGCGTTTCAGAAGAAAATTCATGCGTCTATCTTTATTAATCTTTTAATCAAGCGGCTACTTTGAAATACTTCGCAGGAGTAAAGCGCATAGGAAATGCATGTGAAATTGTTAATTTTCGGAAATAAGAACTTGTTCTTAGTGGCAAAAAATGGGGAGGCGTGACATGCGATTAAAAGAATATTTGTCAATGGTTGGAGCTACTCTCTCTGACAATAGATCGCCTTTGTTCGCTTGAAAATCTAGCCACGCGTAAAAGCTGAAAGAAATGTTAAATACCAGGTTACTTTAACACAAAGGCAAGCTTATGAAGCGGTCAAATATGCGTCTTAAAACCTTTGTTGCTATTGTTCATGGTTAAATCAGGAAAAAAGCTAATGATAATGCCGTACTTTGCCGGCCAATTGACTTCTTTTTTGTAAGGAATTCAAAGGATTGAAGGTGCTTGGCTTTCAACAAAGCAAGCTTTGGTTTAGTGGTTTTCTCTATCAATTATCTTAACGCAGGTATATTTTTCTGGTAATTATTCTTCATTAGGCCATCGTTCGCCATTTTTCGGTCTTTTCAAATTTCAATCTCCGTTCATGTGAAGTTGGTACAAAGTGGAAGGAATATATTTGCTGTTTTTTTTTTTTTTTACAGAAAGATTCAATAAGTGTTATCCAGTAACACATCAACATTGTTACAATTTCAATTTCTTTGAAATAGGTCGCTGGTAATTCTAACTGTTGCCTTGTACATGCAAAAAAAGCAGCAGAAATACGGATATCTTATAGATACAGGGAAACTTAATCAGAAAACCCGTGTTCTATTTGGTTCAGTGTTCTTCCTCGTTCGGCTAGTGAACCGTTCGGCCAATGCAACATGAAATTAAAGCATAATGGTTTACCCGTTGTCTTTATCAGTAAGTATATTTAAATCGCTCTTTTCTAATCAAGTTGAACAAGAATAGCAAAAAGGTGAAATATCCGTTAGAAAAAAAATCCGCCTGCCGCAATTTACCCTGTAACGATTCCACCGCCATATGGGCTTGTTTGATTGTGGCGGACGGCTAACGCCGGCGATAAATTAGAACAATGCCAGTTACGAAACCACGAATTACCTACAAGAAACTTGACTTAAAACACCTGCAGTCTGGTCGTTACCAGCGCCTAATAATCAATTAACTCTCGAATTTGGGTACTCAACGAATTTTTTTTCGCTTGTTATCATGAATTTACCTTATCTCGAATGCACAAAAAACGGCCGACATCCCCAAACCACACCAAGCATGTAAACAAGAAGGAAGGAAAAAAGTGCCGAAGCCAAAATCTTTAAGTGACTGTTATTTTTTAGGAACTAACAGATTCACACCTCCATATCGGTTCTCTTTGACACTGATATAAATTATATGAAATAAAGAAGACTTTTAAATTCATAATGTGACGACCATTTATTATTTCCTGTTCGTTAAAATACCTTATGTTGATCAATGCACTCCTTTGAAAGGGCGCCTCTTGCTTCTTGCTAAACTGAACTAAATACGAATCACTAGTTAAGTATGTTATTGAACTCTTTTCAATATTCAACGAAAAAAGCTTTTACTGATGTTAGAGTTTATCAAAAGTAACCTTAAACTTCTCATTTTAGTTCCTTTTTAATATAATTAGAGAAACTTCATTTACAGCATAGCGGGTGGCTTGGGTGGCCTGTCACAAATCGAATTTATAAGGTGCGTCAAAGTTTTCCCTTCAAGCTTCAATTTTTTTTTTATTTACATTGTAGATGAAAAGTTTAGAAAAGTTTAAAATAACGAACCAGTTTTTGAGAATGAAAATCTTGTCGATGGCCAATTTGCTTCTATGAGTGATTCGAAAAGGACATTTGTCGACAAAATTGCGAAGCTTTTCCCTTGGATATTTTTCTTCAGACAGAACTGATCCTAAAAAGATTTCTCAATTAGAAAGGCAATGAACGAAGAGTAGTCAGTTTCACTTGTCGTGACCCGCAATCAAGAGGAGTATATGCGACTTTAAGACCGGTGATGCGCTTAATTTAAAAACACAGCTTTCTTCCGACAATATTTCACCTTTACCCTTTAACTACGAGAAATGTATTGTGTTCATGTGTGCCATACAACAAATTTTGTGTGGCGAATATTCTTTTGTGTCGAAATGACTTTGAAGCGGAGATCACAGTAAAAGATGAACTAGGAGGATGAACACCACTGTCAGTTTTAGATTGCAAAATTCATGTTAAAATTTCAAATTTATCAATTACACTCTGTGAATCACCCTATCCCTCTTTCTTTAAGCGAGTCAGTGCTACCTCTTGTGTTGATGTATTCCTTAGAACTGATAATTTGTGTTCGCCTTCTCTTTGAAGGAAGTTCAAAAAAGGTTACAAATATCTGGACACCATTATTTTCACTTGAACTCGTTATATCTGTGTCTTAAGTCTCTTATCTCTTAGTTTTTTTTCTCTTTATTTTGTTGGTGACATTTCATGTAAATTTATCTCATTTTACAGTCCTGTAGTCAACATCATGATCATCCTTCTAATTTTCATTTATCCTAGAAAGTTTTGACGTATCTCTGCATCAATTTACTTTACAAGCATGCTTTTCTCTGACAGAAAAGCCTCCTAAAAATTATGACGAATCACGAAAGCGTAAACAATATTTTTAAGCATTGAACTAATGTATGTATATGCCTTTTAACAAATGCCATCAATTTTGATGTTTGAATTTCGTGTTTGGCACCTTTTTTGCACGTGGCACCAGATGTCATATGATTGCTTCTTTCATTGTGAAGCAAAAGCTCTTGAGCTCAAAGATTTTACAAAGGGATTGATCATGTAATAGAAGTAACCATAAAACTAAACATGATAAAAAGTTTACCAACTAGTTTACCAAGTAGCCTCGCTTTCGAGTTGCGAACAGTAGAATGTTTATCAAAATTATTTTAAAATATAAAGAATCTCCTCGTAGAAACAAGAAGGTTGCAAAGCCTTGAGAAAACTCTGAAACCCTCTGATTAAGAATGCATGGTTATTCGTCCGTGGATTAAAATGAACTTAACCAAGTTACCGGACCTGGGGCCTTTCTCGAGGTCCTGGTTACTTTATTAGCACGAGACCTCATTTTAAAATCTAGGTCTATGAAGGAACAGAGCAGCTGGTCTGAACTCAAATACCAGTGCATTCTGTTTCGTTCCTGATATTTTCATGGAATATCACAGCTACTAATGTCTCGAACCTAAATGTAAACAAGTAAAAAAAAAAATACAGTTTTTTGAGGCCGGTTACCATCAGGACATACGAGAAACGGGCCATTGGAATTCACGTCAAGCATTTCTAAACCTTTTTACACAAAGATGATAAATTTATCACCTAATAAATTAAACTCCTGTTTAACTAACTTCGGATACATATTTTCATCCGTAACTAATTTATTTCATTTCTCAGTGAAGAGATGATTCTTCGGTCTTCTCTTCCTTGAACTTTAAAATATTACGACCGTGAGGGACTGTAAACTATTGGTCTTGCTTATCTGAACCTTCCTCAGGACTGCCGGTTGTTATTGTCTCTCTCGCTTCTTGTCTCCATTTCATTCGCCTGTTTTGAAACCAGACTTTCACTTGGTTGTCAGACAACCCCAACATAGATGCCAGCTGATGTCGATCGGCTTTTGTTAAATATTTCTGAAGCTGGAAGCGTTTTTCCAGTCCCTTCCTCTGAAGATTAGAAAACACTGCCCTTGTCCAAGGCCTCCTTGGTTTCCTCGGCTTTGGTTGGCCGGGTAAGACTTGGCCTGGTATCGTTTTGTTAAGAACAGAGGTGCCATATTCGCCATACATGCCTGCCAATAATCAAAGGAGAAAGAAAGCCTTGTGTATAATAATAATGAAAATAACAGTAATAGCAATGATAATAGTAATGACGATGATGAAATTAAAATGATAATAACAACTCTTGCCGATAAATATCTTGTTATACATAAACACGTAAACAGTAGCGATGTGAGCCGACGTTTCGGAGTCTTCATGACGCCATTGTCAAGGTAAGCGTTAGGATTAGGAATTCTGCGAGTACTTATAACCGCAATAAATTTACATGATAAAGAATGTGAGATTAAATTACTGAAATACTTTAACACGGAGTGAGTCGGATTGCACGTTCAGAGTTGGTTTTAGTTCTCTGATGAACAACATCTCGTGCACTAAGTAATCGAATTAACTTTTTGCATTTCTTTAGAACATCGAAGCTCCTCAGTAGATCTTCAGGGACCTTGTCATATTTGTCTTGGTGGTGTTTCTACATAAAGGATTACCGTTGTTTATGTCTGTCCACACGCATGTGTAAGTGTCTGCGCGTATAGCCTACATAATCTGCATCACGCAGGTCATATTGAAAACGATAAACAACGAGTTGTTGGTTTATGATCTGTGGGTTTTTCTCTTCTACCTTTAGGTCTCAGTTAAATATACGGCTAACGAACACGGGTTGGATAATTATGTCAAGAAACAACTCAAGAACCTCAGCCTAAAAGGACCAACAACTGTCCAACCCGTGTTTATGAATAATGACAATGCACCTTATTCTACTGGGATAAACCAGATTTACATGAAGTTAGTATCATCTAAGCCCTAAAATTCAAACGAACTGTAACTAAACATCGTAAATGAACATAAAAAGATAGTGTTTAATAAACCCACTGACAAGAGGCGGGTCAGTTAGCTATTTACAGAGAGCAGCCGAGGAGTTGAATTCGGGGCAACCGAGAACAAATCCAGTGGCTAGCAGGGTGGATTACTTGAACCCGAGACCACCAGACTGACTTATGTGCTACTCGGCCACCCAGTCACACGGCCACATGGCCTCACTGCTATCAACATTAGCAAAGGAAGATACCATAATTCTAGAAATTTTAAAGAGAACTATGCAATGGAAACCGTGTAATTTCTCTCTCCATTACTGAAAAGTATATTTCAAATGACTTTACTGCCCACGTTTAGTTAAACTAGAATTTCAAACATTTTCTTCAAATATGCCGCCATTTTGAAGGTAGCTCGATAAACTGGCCGCCCACCCATCAAGTAATAGGTCCTCTCTATTTGACGTAAATATTGGGGATCGTTCTCATAGCGATCGATCCCTAAAACTCACGTTACCCTCTCGCGTAACCTTGAAAGTGAACCGGCACCAATTGCACCTCGGTCACTCGCGGTCCCCTGTGCTTTAACCACCATAATCTCAATACTTCTCTCCATAATTTCCTAGATGCTTACAAGGAGAATTTGTCTGATAGTCAAGAGCTTCTTCAAGCTAGTGATCATTTCCTTTACTTTCGTGACCTAAATGTGATTCAGGGGTGATACTATACGGATAAACTAGATACCAGTCTTTCTCAGGGTTTAAAGGATTAGAAAGGATGTTTGTTTTTACTTTTAGTCCTCATCAGCTCCTTATGATATTCATTTGATCTGATTGGCGGTTATGAATACTTTGGTATTAAACTGTTTTATAATTTAAAAGCTAAGCACTCTATCTCACCTGTTAATGAGCTGTACGAGTATGGAGTATGGCTGTAGCAAGCTTCACAATTTGAATGAAGGAGCGATCCACAAAGTAAAGGCTGTGCATGCGTAGCTAAATAAGGTGAAGCCCAATAAGTGGCGTGTAAGTGATCACATGCGCTAGGAACCAATGGGTAAGGACCTGAAAGAAAAACAGCTTAATATTTATGATCTATCTTACTCTTTTTGGGTCAATTCAAGCCGTGACCGAGTCAAAACTGAACAGCGACAACACCAAAAAGAGCCACTGCAATATCAACAACCATTCCAATATTTACTTGTACTTTTCACGCCTAACCTACGCGAAAATTAAATAAGATTCCTGGCTGCTTAGAAAACTTAGAAATGGCTAGCCGAGCCAGGCAACCAACTGATACAAATATCTAAAAACAAAATAACTTGCAGGTCGTCAAAACGGTTCTAACTTACTCGTTCGATAAAAGGAAAAGGAGAGTAAAAAACGAAAACCGCCCCCCCCCCCTCCCCCCAGCACAAATCTATATCTACACGGAGAAGGAGGAAGTAATAAAACAAGACTGCATTTATTACTGCAACTACTGGCATTACTAGAGGCAGATTACTACTTATTAATTATTTCCAATAAAAATCTGATTGCAAAGAAATAGCAGCATCATGTACGAACGACTAGTAACATTAAATTAGTAAGATGAGTCCCGATAACTCGAACCGTCGGTAACTCGAATTCCCTGCCAACTCGAAGCAAAACTGATTTCCCTTGGATTTGCCTCATGTATTTACTGTAATTTAATGACCAAGTAGGTATAACAATTTAACTACAGACTAGAAATCCAATATGTTTTAAAAAAATCATTCATAAAAAGTAATAATTAATACCTCAGAGATAGGATCATTCTAAATTACATCCTTAAATTATGAAAGAGAAAAGGTTAGAGTATTTACATTGAACTGAGGAGCTCCATATTTGAGGGTGCTCAGAATTTATGTTAAAATTCCTTTATTTTAGAAGCAGAGATTATGACCTGCTTAAAATCTTTTGACTAGAAACATCTTTATACTGTACAATGAGGTAGTGTTTCTTATCGACCAGTGTGAATAATGAATCAAACACAGAGGGTGTATGTCCACTATGAATTTTTATTCGAAGAGAAAGATCTCAGCCTTATCTTACGGAAGGTGAGATCAGGTAGCTTTGCGATATCTCCAAAAGTCTGAAACCGGACTGGAGTCTATATGGTTTACATTCATACAATTTATAGAGCCAGTGACATTAAAGAGCAGTTTCCTTAGTGGAGGATAAAAATGGCAAGGTTAGGTTTTCAAGTCAAGTGAAAGCTTATTCGGCAGAACTCGACCATGAATAGGTATTGATCAATTCATTATTACGATTTGATTCATATACTCTCAGATTTAGTGCTTAACGAAAAATAGTTCCATTTGCAAAAAGATCATAATTCTGACTTAATCCAGAGTTTCAGAGGATTTACTTAAGTCATTCATATGAGCGTCGGGAAAAACCATAAAAAATCAGGTTGTAGATTTGACACAGTGTGCCCCCAGAAAACAAACTAGCATTCGGTAGTTAACTTTTTATGTTTTTATATTAGAATAAATGGTGTGGTGATTGAGTCATAACTATTCATTGACATCTCCGCGAGATATCCCCTGGGCAATTGCTTGATGTTTCCTCAAGAGGAAACAAATGAAACGAAACAATCATTCATTGCCTAATATCACTACCTTCGCAAAGTCACACCTAAATTGTTATTTCGTCTAAGAAGATAAGAAACTCGCCTCTTAAAACGTTTCAAAGAATATACGCCATGGAACTAGATACATTGCACAGAGATTTCCTGTTTGATAACTTGTAAGTTGGACCAAAAGCTCTATCCTTGTATATTATTCACAGCGTTTCACACTGTACTCTAAGAAACATCGTAAATGAAAATCTTCAAGTTTCTTTCATAGTGGTTTTCTTATATAGAGTATTCAACCATACAACTTGCATGCTTGTATTCTGATTTGTAATTCTGCGGACAATACATCACAGGATACTTCCACCCTTCAGTTGGTAGATGAAGCTTAGCCCTAAGCCCTTACTGCGACCATTCAAAAGAAAAGCTGTACTTTCACGTGGTAATGTTTACTACGCTGTAAAAGGTGACTTCAACTCTTAAATCTCTAAATAAAAAATTAATGTGTGAGATTATGCAAGTGAAAGCGATAGAGCTGTACTTTCGTGTGGCGTCTGTTATAGTGTACAAGGTACTCCCAATTGTAATGTGTATGCCTGTGTGCATAAAAACTAAGTATGTTACCAATTTAATGAAAGCCATTGAGAAGCTCTCCCATATGATACTTTTTATTGCATTGTTTTGAATCGAAGATGACCCTCTATCATATCAATGAAAATCCAACTAGCGATCACTGCATTGAAATTAAAGTTTTCTTGTCGAACTGCTGTGCGTGATTAGAAATTTCCGGTTGTCTGCATTCAAATGAAGAGTTAAAATTGTTTTTAATCACCCCAGTGAAAAAGTTATTACTTAGATTTACTTAGGCTTTAAGTGTCTCAATTAGATGCCAAAAAACTTAATTCATAGACACTGAGGTTACGTTGTTGCTACGTTTTTTACACTTCTGATGAACCCATGTTTACAAGCAGTTCATTTGTAAACTGACACTACTCCAGCAAAGCTACGTAAAAGTTGTTAAAATGTTTACATCTATGAGAACAAGAAAACTTAGAGTGTGATCATGTAGAACTGTCACTTTGTACTGTTTATTGTGTCTTACAGGATGGTTTGTATAGGTCACGTCCGCCAGATTTCATCCTGCTCATTGTGACCATTTAAATAGAGTTCTCGTTTCTGCTGTTCTTCACAAGTGACCTTACCTTCAAACTACGAAAGAGAACTCTCTCAAAAACACCCACACGTAGAAATCATCTCAAACAGTTGAAAAAGTCATTTTACGTTAACGCACGTCAAGAAATAGAAAACCGTGATACATAGTCCCGAAATCAAACAGCATTAGCTGTTTTTCAGCAATGAAAGTGGAACCCCGCTCGCAAAGTTTCATGTCGTTAAAGTGAATACTATAAGCAACGTTCGCCGGCTGTGAATCATCATAAAACGCATTAGTTATATATGTGGTACTCGTATCAAGAAGAAATATTTATTGTTATTTTTCCGTTATTAATGAAATAATCAATCACATGTGGGTCATAATGGCAGATAAATGAATTTTTTTCACGATCTAAAACATAATTTTATCTCCGTGTGTGGGAGAACGTGGGAAAACGATCATGATAATGATAGCATAACAAATTCCATCCAGATGTGCATTTCAAAAAACCACCTTCCCCCTCAAAAATATAAATCGTGCTTCATATCTTGTTTTACCTATAGAACTTCTGGTCAACCAAGGCAGATGGCGTTGGTTTTAGGATCTATGTACTGTAAGGAATATCTGAAACATGGTTGAAGTTTTATGACATGTGATAATTCGAAATGCTCTCTTTTCAATAAAATAAACAATTCGAGGTCAAAAATGTGCTGATATTAGTGACTAATTGCTGCTTCATTGTGCTAATGCTGTGCTAATTGTTCAATCGTTCTTGTGTTAACCATATTGTTTGCAATTAGGCTGGTGTTTTATTTTCATTTAATGAACAAAGACTCGCGATAGTAGAAGTTAAACTTACAAGTCAACTGCTTTCATTAGCTACTGTCTAGCTCTTCAAGCAATTACAATGATACTGGACATTATATTGTCACTAGTCCATTAGTGTCACTTTATCCGTGTTACCCACTGAAATGAAATTTGTTTTTCGAAAGTCCCCTGAAACGTGTCTTTCAGTCTCCAAAACACGTGTCCCATTGACATCAAAAGCTTTCTCTTAAGCTTAATTATAACCTTTCAAATTCTTATAAACGGCTTTGGATTTTCGTGCGACTTATGATAAAACAGAAACATTTCGTCTAATTGGGTGGCCATTCTTGGTACAAGAAATCAGACAAGTTTGACACAAAATACCTGATCTTGTCATTTGGACAAACTTTCTCACGCTAGATTGAAAGATCTCGTGAGTAACGTTGACTCTATTAATAGTTCTTTGTGAGTTTTGAAATCCAGAATAGTTTTTGTTATGTAGTAAAAATATTTGTCTTTCCGATCTGGTGACGAATGATGTCCATTTGAGCTTTTATCGCATTCATATAACAAAGCAACACAAATAAGCAAATGGATTTTAGAAAACCGATTCAATCTATTGGCGCGCCTCCATTGTAAGGCCTTTGTTGAATCTGTCTCTCTTGATTTCACTCATCTTGCACTTCATTCTCTCAACTTTCTTGGAAAAGGTGATCATCACCATCGACTACAAAGGAATTAGCGTCTAATCCATTTCTAGCTGATCGCCTAAGATGATTTGTGTATTTAAGTTTTGTTTTGAGGCAGAACAAGGCGTGGTCCTTTGTCTAATGCATGACAGCTTTTTGGAGACATAAAACCTTTGCGTTTGGTTAGAAATGCAATACACCGACAACAAAAATGTCCTTCGTTTTGCAACCACTTGAACATGTCAGGCGAAAAATCCGGAGCATCTTTCATCTCAGAAGCCACAGAGACAGTTCGAAAAGGTTTGGTTTTCCTCGGAATCTTGGTACCCAGCAAGGACTCAGCTTTCGTCAACTCTTTATTGCTAATTTTATTTGTGCAAATGAGACTAACAAGTGTCCGCTCTAGTAGCCTAAATAACCATAGTAAAAGTGATAAATCTAAACCAAAAGCAGCTGCCATTTCTGAATGGAAGGGGAAATGAAATGCAGTAACCGTGTTTTTCAGAGCCATTGTCCTCGGGGTGTACACTTCTAGAGATTTTCAAGTTCTCATTTCCGATTTTTGTAACCCTACTCTTGAGGAAAAGTATTCAAAAGGTCTTTTCTGGACTAAACGGATTTACAACTCAAAAAAAATTGACATCATTCTTCTATAAAAAACAAGAAAACAAAATTATTATTTAACTCTTGCCACATGTTCGCCTATCCAGTAAACCTTTCTTAGATCTTTTATAGTTAAACCAAGTTTCTGAAACATTTCTTGTTGGAGTTCAAATCTGTAGAGGGTTTTTTCTCATACTTTTTAAAAAAGAATGAAGAAAAAGAGATTAAAAGCCCCTTTAACATGAAACATGTTTTATTTTATAAAAACAAATCTAAACCATTATGATATATAGCTAAAAGGATGTCATTAATATGATACTCTTCAACACAACGAAAAAAGCGTTTAAAGAAGAAACATGAATTAAAAAGGACTTGAAAGATGGTCGGAGAGATTGAGGAGTAATTAATTTTTGTGCACGAAGGAACGAAACAACAGAACATGTTCATGATGATAATAGTCATGATGATACACAAAAAACATTGAGAGTCTTACAAAATCTCCTATCGAAAGTTTTCAAATGACATATAACTGTGCCTCGGATACCTTGAAGGAGGATTTTCAAATTTTATTCGCCCCTCTATTCAGCAAAAGCTGTATACAGATACAAAAAAAGTACTGTCCTGGAGGTAAAATTTAAAATAATTTCAGGCTCTAATATATGAAGACATAAAAAATAGTCAAAAAGAGGTATTTTCTAGAATCTATCCCAAAAAGTCAATCGTTTATATCTTTCTCTATATTTGTTTGAAGCCCTAAGAATTGAGAAAAGTCTGAAAAATGTGTGCCATTCTTTCTGCAGACAGAATATGTTAGTTATCTCAAAAATCATTCGTAAACACGTTGGCATTAAATCGACAAGGAAACAATGTATTACGGGTCGATAAGTTTACCAATTAAACATATAAAGATATGTTTTCATAGAAAAGACAGCTAATACTGATTCACTTGTTGTAAATTACACGTACATGTTGCACAGTCTTGTATCACGGGACAAATATTTCTTACGGGTTTGTGCTTGATTCTTCTACTTAACGTGTTCAGTTGGCCTTCGAAAGGCGGCATGCTGTGGTGTACAGAGGGAAATAATCACAACGAAGTAATTTTGACCAAGTATAATTGAACTTATCATGAGAATATACTAATACACCGAAGAAATTCCTTTCACAGCTTGCTATGTACATATTCTATGTACCCATAGTTTGGTAACAAATCGATTTGAAACCAGTAGAATGTTAAATAGAAAACACATGGTACAGTTATTATCAAAAAGCTAACAAATTCTTTTGTAACAATTCAGCTTCTTAACGAAAGGCGAATTCGATCGCTTTTGGTTATTGATACTCCAATGTTTCGACATATCTCTGCAATAACATCTGTGCAAAGGCCTATATCTTTACTCTTTCTTCATTTCTCTTTCAAAGAGTTTTTCCCCTCTCATTTCCCTATGAACAATTGTAACCCAGTTAATCCCACGAAAATTCAGTGTTGTCTTTTCCTGTTACATTAACTGACTGTAGATGTCTCATCAGTTTTCATAAGTAACCATCACATAACCAGATTTAATGAAATAACCCCCTTCTTTGACAAATAGACAATTATAAACTTCAAGGTCTATCCATCGAGCCAATTTCTTTAAAGATAACTCGCACCTTAAAATTTTTCTTTAATAATGAGGATCCCTTTGAGTAGCGTAAAACTAGAGGGCGTCTTAGTGCAGCCCCATAAGACGCGTTGTTATTATAACCAAAATCCCAAAACCCGAGACGTTTGTCAGAAAATTGATGTTTTTTCTCTTGTATGGTTAGCGCCCCTGTTCTTCAAGATCGATTTTTTCAGAGGCACGATCAGAAAAGAAAGAACTTCTGAGTTGTTGTTTAGATTGTAGCATATAATCCGAGCCTTTTTTGGTCTGCTGTGCTGTACATATCTCGGAAACAAAGCGATTTTCACATCAAAGCAAATGTTCTAGCTATAGGAAATGCGTGTGACACCAGAAATGGTTATTGCTGTTACCCCATGTCAGATCCGCTCGACAATTGTACATAAAAGCAGGAACAGATCTAATCAGCTTTAACTACAGATGCTCAGTGTGGTTGGAATTTATTTCAAACCTAAGATAGGCGTTGAATTAAGAGTCACAACATCAGCTACTACCGTTTCCTAGGTTGAGCAACCTTCCTGTCCTATTTGCTATTTACAGAGACAGAATACTCTACAGCGATTTTTCAGGCTGAAAGATTAATTTTGTTTAATCATAAACTAGGGATACTATTTACACCATTTAATGAAGATAACGGGTCATTGCGAAAATAAAAGTTGTAAAGTGCTCGCCATGCCCGCAATGTTCGACCTATTTGCTGACAAAGACAAAAACAAATTTTCACCCTTCTCTCTGAGCGTCAACCACTTCAATAGTTTTATTCGTACAAGGGCGCAACTTCCGTAAATATATCTTTGATACAATAGATACGTTGTCGTTTCCGTTGTTTGATCGGCTTCAGAAACCGGGCACAGCGTGTTAGATTATAACGATCAAGTGTAAGCAGTCGAGAGCGCGCTGTGCTCAAAAACCGCTACAGGATGAAAACATCAACGAGCGAAAGGGCCATGAGATATTTGAATGGCAACTCGGCTGTCTGATCATTTCACAAATAAACATAAACGCGAAATAACATTGGTGCCTAGGCCTTGCCTTGCTCACCTGCAGTAATATGTGATAAAAGGGAAAAGATAAGCTTGGAAAACAATTAATTTAATATTCTTCTTTCGACTCTTTTAAACATGCTTTGGTATTTCTTTAATTAAGTGGCGCATTGTGTTCTACTTTGCAAAGAAACAGATTGCTCGAGCTGACTAGGTTGAGAAGCTGTTCGTAATATTCCATGCTCTGTTCCCGCGCTGCTTAAATCGAAAGCTTTTAACTACACAAATGCACAATCATAAAGTGTTATTATTGATCGAAAACGGGAGTGGATAACTTACGATAATTGAGGTTCTAATCGACCATATTTTCCTCTGCGGTTGGCGAAGCAGAAGGCAGTTATAAACATACAATTTTTCCTTTTGTTAATATACCTCACGGTCAGCGAGATAAAATCAGAGACGTGAAAGTTTATCGCTTGTCTGTTGCGATCTAGTGTCGAGCCAAGCTGTTTAAAAATCTACCCATTTTAAATAAAACCATAAATGTTTTATGAGAATTTTTACGTATGAAATACACTTAGTATCTGCCACATAAGGCTGTAAAAAAATAAGTAATCTCGGATAAATCGGAAAACAAACCGTCCGCGAAACAAGCGCAAGATAGCGATTTGGTCGCATCATGATTTTAACTTTCTTCTTATCTTTCTTACCTAACACAGGTAGTCTTTCTCTTTGTTCCGTTTCGTGTCTTGCGAGTATTTGGTCTACGCCAAAGCTTAACTGTTGATAATTTGGTATCGGGGTTGATGCGCCAATTCCACTGCCAGTTTGGGACCGGGATACCTGTGGTCGAGCTAAAATATCGTCAATTCTGAACGACGCCATGTTGTTCTTTGCACGGTAATCCAATTTAAAACTCGTGCTTTAGCTAAGTTGCCGTTGTTAGCTGGCCAACGAGAAGTTTGTAAAGCTATGGGTTGCGAAGATAGCAAAGACAAAGAGGTTCATCAGATGTCGATCTTCAATGGCCCACGGGGAGCTAAAAATGACACTACGTTGTTGATTGTCACTTCGAGTTCCATTAGCGTTGATTTGTTGATTTTTATCATCTTAGCTTTTCTTTGTCAATTGGAGACATATACATATATACGTAATGTGTTTCCTGAATAGTGCTTTTTGAGGAATGGTCTCGATTGATATCTGTGTTCACAGATGGGACGGGTTAGACGCATAGCACGCAAAATGGGCTGTGGACGTTTCTCATATCGCCCACAATCCCCACAGATTAGTAAAAGATACCGTTGTTTATAATCCAGTTATCTTGGTTGACACTGAAATTAAATTTCTCTGAACCGTAAGTTCTGCTGATTTGGAGAAAAAAGGGAAAGGATAGTGAACAGCCTTGTAAAAACAGTATATATTTTCGATTTACGGTGAAGAAATCACTTTGAAAGTAACTCGCTTATCTCATATCTTATGGTGTCGAGTTTACTCGGATGGCCATTGGGAGTCAATTATCACCCATTTAAGGTATTAGATTCACGTATGTTCATTTACACAGCCACACACGTGTATTAATATATCCTTTGGCTTAATTAATTCCTCACTCCATCACTGCATGTGTGTTTTTCATGTAGATGGAAAAGATAAAGGTGTTTAACTTTACATTAGACCGTTGTTCGAATGAACCCTGCTCGAGATTGTGCTGCTCTTCTGATATTTTCTTTTCAAACAGCTATGTAAAATCAACAACAGCAAATATCTTGTTGCCCACGAGTATTTCCTTCGTTTATGGTTTATGCGGTTTTCTCTAAGGCGATAATTCAATTATCGCATGATTAAGATGGAATATGATCCGAAGCTTTAACAACTAATCACCAGAAAACTGTCTCTGCCAATCTTATTACTTTGTGTCCATATCCTGATACAGTGCCAAGTTAGTGAGCTAGGGTAGAATGGTTTCAGTCAGGTTAAATCTCGTATAGAGTCAAACGAGCACCGATGATGTTTGCTAATAATCCATTGGGCAAGATGCCTGACAAAACACGAATTATCACAGATACAAGCAGTCAATGTTATTTTAAGAGAACGTCGGCGTGATTATGATCGGTGTTTAAAGGTCTTTAAAGATACGAAACTGGTTTCAATAACTACGAAAGCGCATTTAATCCTTTAAACAGGTATTCTTGTTTATATCGGATTATATAAATCGCTTGGAGAGGTATTCAACCATTTTCAGCCGAGCCGGTAATTTCGCTAGTACATTATCACGCCCAAGACTCTAGCGCCTTTAATCGAACTGTGCACGCTATGTTTTTACTGCGTTTAAGAAAATATCATCGGTATGATTTGAAAGAAAACTCTCCATATTGTTGCCTTCGGTCATGACAACAGCATTTGATTGCGTGAATGTAGCAGGTCAATTTCATCAATATCCTAACATGTCAATTTCGATGACGGAGGGCATGCAATATGACAATTTATCTTTTTACATCAGTGAGTAACTCTCTCATATAACATCCATATTTCAGTACGAATTTTTGCGCAAAATTTATGTGCGTCACATCGTCTTAGATGGAGCACTGCACTGGAAGAAATGTAACACTGATAAAATACCAAGGAATAAAAGACTAAAAGAGATGACACAACCATCAAACAGGATTATTATTTAGTACTTGACAACTTCTTTGGTTTCTCCAACTTTATGAATTAAACCAGTTTAAAGGCAGTCATCACTGTGGCAAGAGTTTCTTTGGTTTCACAGTCATTTCAGTCCATTTTACAAATAGCACCTAGTAGATCGGGTCTGACTCCTTTGTCTGTGCTGACGAGGTAACATTTTTTCCGAAAAAATTTTCTGGATACCGAAAAGCTGTTAAGTTGTTGACAGTCAGCAGAATTCATTCAAGTTTATGTTTGAAATTGGTGTATTAACGGAGAAGGTAGAAAATATTTGTCTTTGTACACTGTAGTTTTTCAATACAGTGGCTCTAAAACGTCTCATTTTTTGAAATGTTTTACATTCTTGATCTGACCTTTCATTCAAAATCTTTGTAACCTTTACATTTTTAACCGGCCTTATGTATTCTCATACGAAAAATTTATGTCAAAGCTTTTAATACAACATGTGTCAACAACGCAACCACGCCAGGACATAAGTCACAGTCACGTAAAGAGCTCACTTCGAGTACCTTGTCTAAGTTTCACAAGTTAATTATCCAGTGAATCATTCACACAGAGGAACAGCGAAACGCTTTTGTAACAGTTGTTCAGATGCCTGTTTAAACTGCTTCATGCAGCGGAAATATTAATGGCATCTCGCTCAGTTAGTTTGTATTTCTCAATGTTTGCTCCATGGGATCTTGAGAGAACAACAGTTTATGGAGATTCGTCCGGTAATGTTTGCGTTCTGTTGTCGTATGGTGAACTAACTCTAGGTAGAACAGATGTTGCGCTACTCTCAGGGTAAACAATAAATTTACTCTTTTTACAAAAGACGATGATGAACTTTTTATAAATCTTTTCACCTGCTTGGCAAGTCAGAAGTTTCAAATCCGGTTTTTCGAAAAGGTGACAGGTTTAATGACACAGGCTGCCTATCGAAGAATAGAGCACAGTTCATCCCTATTTACACTCTATAATGTACACCCATCATCTGCTAACCTAATCTTCCGTCTTAAAAATCTCGCAACAATTTAAAGTCCACGTCCCCTGTCCGAAAGTTTGGTTTGGTGTTTCAATCGCAACCACGTACGAATACAACATAAGCTCAGACTGAATTGCAACAACATCACAAGGTACATAGTTACTTAACCAACCTGTATTGTCTGATTATAATAAAGATCCCTTGAAAGTATTTCAATCAATTCACGTGGTTTCGACGTGGCACAAAAGACAAAAGAGCAGCGTCAGTTGGAATTGCCTCAGCTGTTTTTACGGCATGTGAAAACTACAGTCTGGGCAAAGAGACAAGAGCAAGGCCTTTTCATTTCAACAATGAAATCAGTGGCAGCAAGTGAATTACATTCAAATGCATCAAAGACATATTTATCTTTTACTCGACTATTTCACCTTCCTTTTATTTACAAAGGAATACATATTCTTCTTCGTGAAGTTTAATTTACCATAATGAGACATGAACAAAATCTTATCAAAAGAGGTCTGTCAAATTCCGGAGAAATGTTTGACTGTCCTCGTTGTAATATGACCCAATATTTACAACCTAAATTTTTGTATCCGGCACTGTCAAAGTTTTTTTTTACCTGTGGGCATTCGGCTTGTTCTACATAAAATTTGCGTTATACTAACGATCCCTTCGATCGCCGATAATTCCCTACTTTACCTTTCTTTATGAGCAGACAACTCAGTTTTAAAATTTTTTTAAGCAGCCTGTACCTAATCTGCAACCTGACAACCCTATAAGCAATACAAGAGTAACAATTTCTTGGGTCAGTCGACTCCTTGACATATTTATGTCTCCCTCCCCTCCCGTCCTACAGGTTTGTCTGAAAATTTAATCAAAAGGATTTGTGTTCGCTGCATTTCCAACTCTAGAGAGGATGAGAGAGTTGGGTGACCCGTTAATTCACAAACCGTAGCTTTCACGTACCTTACAACCTAACCTATGGCATCAAGTTTGTAGAAGTAGTAGGGGTAGCAGAAGTCTCTATTTTTTCACAAGGTGAAAATTACAAATCTTATCTTACAAAGTGAAAAGGTTAAAAAGTAGTAAAAAGGTGAAAAAAATAATAAAAAACATGCAAAAAATTTCTAAACTTACAACGCTATAGAGTACTTAGAAATTAGACGATTTGCATAAGAATCTTTAAAACGGTCTGTATTAACTTTGGGCAATGACAAGATTTGTGTTTTCTCACAACGCTGTCTGAGCCCACTCCAGTCTTTCCCTTCTTCTTATGAGCACACGTATTTTCCTACTTCTCTTGCAGCGCCGTTGTTTTGTGGACAGGAAACATCCACGCTATCATTCATGTTTCTAGTGTCCAATGCTAAGTTGCTGACTCAGCGAACAGGCTCATCTTTGAGGTTACGTTTATTTCGTAATCACGAGGCTAAAAAGCTTGCGTGCGGTACTACTAACGAATACGAATTCTCAACATTTTCTTCTACCATTCATTTAAACGTCAGCTCAGAAGGTGACTTTTGTTTCGTTGGTTACCTGGTTGTTTCTGGTTTACCTCTTCGTCGTTAGAAAATCAAACTTTTAACTGCAACACTGTCTTAAAAATACGCAGCAATAGATCATTTTTCTACTCGCGACGCGTAAGTTATTCTCTGCTATCAGTGAATACTACCGACAACACATGGCGAATTAATCAGTTTGAGAAGGGTACTTGAAAGAGACGGAAATTTGTTTTCCAGATTGAGCATTTGATACAGCTTAAGTAAGAAGTGACATTCAGACATGATAACGGATGGCCTCATCCAGACAATCTGCTCTCAACACCGGAAGAGCAAATTACAGCAGCTCTGATCCGTAACGGCGATTTCGTGGTTCCAGTTTGCTTTATGTTTAATATCAATATAGAGATCAGGTAAATGTGAAATGAAGTCTGCTATGTTTCTACATATGTTTCAAGGACAATTAACCGCCTTATTGACATTTGAGAGAGATTCAAAATGATTAAACTCCTTCCTCTTTTGAGAGGGTTAAGAGATAGAAAGACAGAGAATTTCGATATAGAACTGCCAGAAACTTGAAGGATTATCGGAACTGAAAATTTTACAATTCCATTCAAGAAAGTCAAAGCACTTAAGGTTTCCCTAATCTTGCTCCCCAAGAGTTTCTCCCTCTGTAGTAGGACTTTAATTTTAATTTTTTTCAAAAGTCAGTAAATTTCGATATGAATTGAAGTTTCCTGAGGTGAGTTAGGAGGTTAAATTTAGAGGAAAGTCAGAGAATAGTAAAATGAAACTTGCAGTTTTTTTTTCTACATCGTTGTGAGTTGGGAAAAGATCGTAACAGTTGGAAAAAATGCCTTTAAAGATAAATATATATTTTTTAAA